CTGCAGGGACAATCATGTACAACAAAACTTTGGAAAACAAAGTTTCGAAATAAGTGTAGGTTTTAAAATACAAATGAGACAATATGTTCAGCATATGACATGGTAAGAAAACAACTGTCAGATATGCTTGTGAAATTGAACAGCTATACACCGGTTTTTTTTTTAATACTTATTCACCTACCAAATCAATTACCTAAGTTGCAACTCTCTAATCAAGTTTCTTTTTCTCACAAAAAGCTCAAAGTAACACTCAAAGAGACGCTGTCTCCTTCAAAAGTCTGCTTACTGAAATTAAAAAACCTGCGTATGGAACTGAGCTGTTTGATGATTGAGGAGACTGGAAAAGGTTATTAAAAACGAAATTTGTTGCATAATGTGCAGCCGACTGCAGACAACAAGTCAAGGAAAGTGATTTATTGGAAAAGAGATGCAGAGATCATTTCACATCAAAACTTCCTATTTGACGTTAACTGGATTACCATAAAAGTTTTATATTGCACCAATAAAACACAAAATAATATTCCAAATCAGACTTTACAATGAAACATGCAGATTAGTTTAAGTCGGATAACTAGCATTTTAAAGAAACTTGTTAAACTGATATCATCTCTAAGTAAACAAACAAAAAAAAGTAGAATATGGGAAACACATACCATGTACATGTTGAGCTAACGGATAATGGGGCCCTGTTGAAAGCAACTTTGCTCCCTTCACCCTCTTCCGTCTGTAAAATACAAAATATGTACCAAATGCCACTAAAAGCACCCCAGCTGCAACAGCTATACATATTCCAGCAATTACCCCACCACTGATTCCTGCTTATACAAAGGTTGAACATAAACCTTAAAGTTATCATCAAGTTTCCAGATTACCAACCAACACCGGCATCCAAGCATTGAAGTGAATATAATTATCAGAAAACAAAACTATTGGGAAGGTCAAACCACCTTTGCTGCAAAAGAAAAGAAAATAAATAAATACGTGATCTTATAAATTCATATAAACTGATGAAATGTCCAAAATGTGGAACATTATAACAATTAATGGCATAAAAAGTAAAGTTGCAGAAATTACCTTGAGTGCAGGGGTGGGAACTGACCACTTGCATCTGCCAAAAAAAAAACAAGAGAAAAAAAAAACAGAAAAACCTCCTTTGAGCATATTGTCAGGAACTAGAAAATTACTAACAAATATAGCAAACAGAATAATTACAAACACTTGAAACATTGGATAAATATAACTCCATGTATTCCGTGCACTTCGCAAAACTATACCCAAAAGAAGCAGTAACAGTGTAGAAAACCAAAACAGAAATGCTACTAAAAAAAATCGATCCATTCTATAGATCATGTCATCAAGTCCCACTGCATCATAATGTATCTTATTTCAAGGAAGCCTCTGCTGCCATTCTCACAAAAGAAACTTACATCTCTCAAAAATGCCCAAATGCTTCATCCCTACACGGACTATGCAACCAACAGCTCCGCCTTTATTCCAATGAACATTTCTAGAACTTCACATCATGGGACACTCATAAATCTAATGAAAACAATACCTCTCACTTTCAAGTATAAGTAGCTGAAGTATGACGTCTGTGATGAACAGAATAATCCCGCGCTCAAAGCTAACTACTACTAGAACTAATATCTCAAATGAGTTTATACTATAACTCTGCCATCAAATGAGCATATTTCTCTTTCTCCCTAGTGAGAACTATATATATCGATTCCCTCTATTTTGTGAACTTCCGATCGATAAAAAAACCGCATGGATAATGATGAAGAATAAGCCAAGACAACCAGCGAACTATTTTTCCAAATATGAATTTGACCATATATAAGTTAATTGTGTATCTAATCAACATTTAGAACAACTTGAAAATATTACAAAGACGAAAAGAAACTTGCCTTTCCCAGGAATAAATACCAATCCACTCCCTTGACTAAAATTCACTTCACGGTTATACCTTTGCAACAAATCAGCCGAAAGGTTGGTCTGGCTGGCAATCGAGGTCAAACTGTCTTCTGGTCGGAGCGGGTACGTGACAAACAACCCGAAATCATCGGAAACCGAGCTATCCCCACATGAGCAATTCACCGTCACATTGAGTTGGGCAGTATCAGGTATTAGGTTCGGTTTAAAACTATTGAATCTCTCCAGCCACTGTGGCGTGGTCAAATTCGAGTAGTTCGGGTTGGCGACCTTATCGTACGTATCACCCGACCGAACGTTGTACTCGAACACGTGGCCAAGGAACTCGCCGTTGATGCAATCGCAAGGAAAGGGAACATCGACTCTCGTGAACGCCTGGACGCTGTCCTTGTTGCTCACGTTCTTGTTGAAACTAAGAATCACATCGAAGGCTCCAAGAGGCGCAACCGACGACTGCAAAACCTCGCTTATGAACGTGAGGTTCGATCCGGGCCATACGAAGTACGACGCCAAAGCTAAACCGCAGCCTCTGCTGCACTTCGATTCGACCTTCAAGAAATAAACAGAGAGCAGCAGCAGAACCGAAACCGCCAAACCTAATTTCACTACCATCGGATCGAAAACTCTAAAATCAAAAGCTCCAGCTCAATTCGTCGGCTTGGCGAATAGATGAATCGAGTAAATGCGCATCGGCTTTGCTCTGTTCTTGTCCTTTTATAATTTATAGTTGAGATTTAGGACCGTTGACCGGGTATGGTGTTGTGAAGATTCAAAAAGAAGGGGGCGTCGCAGCGGGGATTTACGTGGAGGGTTAGTTGAAGGTAGGAGACGATTGAGAGTGGTTAAATCAGACATTTTCTTCTGTTGATTAAGCCTTAAATTAATTCAAACTAATAAAAAAGTTGGAAGAATAATCAGAGGAGAAGCTGTCGTCTTCTGAAGTCTCAGTCGATAAGCAGTAGACTCCCGCGGTTTTTCTTGGTCTTCTGAGTTGGGTGTTTGACTTGGCGGTACTCACAGACGCGCTAGCTTCCAAGTGTTGGTTCCTTCCCTTCTTAATTTTTTAAAATTACACGGAATATAATTATAATTAAGAATATTATGTTTAAAATATTATAATTAAGAAACATATATAAAAATTATAATTAGCTTCCTATAATGTAATCTACGATATAAATCTGTCTTGTTTGTATTTAATTAAATCTTTTATTAAACATTAGAGTCACATATTATTTTTAAAATTTTCAAAGACAGACGTTTTTTTTTTTTTAAATAAAAATAAAATTTTTGAACTTAAATTCATTTTAATTAGATATCTGGGTTGCCTCGTGATTGTGGCGTCTGTCTCCGGACGCATTGTGCCCGGGAGCACACGTTCTAAAATTGGACCCCGCAACGTTCTCCATGGACCCACCTATCAAAAAATTTTAATTTTCCAAATCCAAAAAATATATATATTATTATTATTAAAATAAAATATCATGCGTACCTACACATATATAAGCACATTACTAAATTATTATTTTAAAATTCGATACCTACTATAACATTGTTCTTAATTTTTTATTTCAAACTTTAATGAGAAAAAATAAAAATAATTACATTGTATTTAATATTTTTAATACATTTAAATATACATTCATGCATGTGGTTGTATATTTGAGAGTACACGATTCCAAATGTCAATTCAAACCTGTTGAAAAGATAATTAAGTAATGTTTGAAAATGTCAAATAAATCTTAAATAAATTAAGAAACATATTAATTAATTTTGACAAACATCTCTGCCGCCAGCAAAAAAGCAAAGTCCTGAATTCAACTGAGAAGAGATGAATGATCAAGCCGAGTAATTATATATACGTAGTAATTAACTTTTGTTAAAATATAAACATAAAATAATTATTTAAAAAAATATATATTAGATTTATATATAGAAAAATTAACTATTGTTGTTTTATTGTTTATTATTATTTTATTAATATTCGCTCAAATCTTTATTTTTTCTTCTCCTTGTTTTAGGGATTTTGTCTTGTATAATTCTTGTAAGCAGTGCCTATCCTCCTCCGTATCTATATGCACATGTTCACATAAATTAATCACGTCAGAGTCCATAATTGTTTGACAATTAAATGCACGTAAATATTATAATATTTCTTTATGATTCAACAACAATAGATCATATTCATTGGCAACCAAATTAATTCTTTATCCTATAATATCTCTGTCTGTGATTTTCCTATTCTAACATTTAGCCTATGTTCGTAAAATATTTTTATATGTAAATTATACATAGGGTTATGATAAAAATATATGTCGATTTTATATGAAATTTTATATTAACTTAAAACAATATGATATACCAGCTTAGTCAAAATTTTATATATGAAGTTAATTTATTTTTTTTATTTTAATGATAATTTCTTTTATTTTATAGTTAAACTAATGAATTTATAACATCACGTATTAATATAAGATTATAGATAAATCTAAGTTAAATTAAACAAAAATAATAATAATTTTAAAACACGAGCTAATTTTTTTTTATTATTTAAGTAATTTTTAATGATTCAAAAACGGTATAATTCTTTCCTAATAGGGTGATATACATACACACGCACGAACATATATATGTAATATGTGTGTTGAATAATCCGTACAAACACCGGACCATTTTGATACGATCATACATATATATATCAAATACATACACACGCATATATGTAGTAGTTTACGGCCACTCAAATATATATACACACACGCGCGCGCGCATATATATATATAGTAGTTTTAAGGAAGTGACATGCAAATAAAAATTCAAGAGAAGATTGTTGGGATTATGGGTTACAAAATGATGAGAAGAATGTGTAAAAGTTTGGTCGAGCAATTACGGATTTAAAAGATTTAATTATAACATGAAAGAATCTTAACAACCAAATTAATTCACATGACAACCGGCCTTTAAATTATTTTATTTTCCCAATGGTGCCCCACTCCGTACCATGTTGCATGTAGTCTTTGTAATTTCATATTTGCCAATAATTAACACCATAACTTTACTAAATTTTAGAAAATTATAAATTATTTATGATACACGTATAGATTAAGAAATTAAAATAATTAATTATGTTATTTATATAATTGGTATATTCTTGTCCCTAAAATATTATAATATTCTATATGTAGTTATTATTTTTGGGCAAATTTGTCACCACATTTTCGGTGTAGTATATAAGGAAAAATGTAGCTAATTAAAAATTTTAAATGAAATTTTACGAATTAAAACCTAAGATTTTTAATTAAAACATTAATCAACTAATGTTTATTAATTATTTAGTTAAATTTGCCGGGATGATATATATTATAATATTATAATCCCCGAAAGAATGTTGGAGAAAGAAAATGAGACAAAGTCTACTAATGGGGAGAGGAAACTATCTTAATTATTAATGCACAGTTACTCGAAAGCTTCTTAGTATTGTTGCACAGCAAGAACTTTAGCTACAGCCAATCAATATATCAATATATCAATATATATATATATACACACGTGTGTATATATATATATATGTATGTATGTATAAAAGGAACACCGTGTCGATTTCTCATTTTCTTCCAAATATTTAATATCCTAATAATAAGTAAATTTTTTTAACCTTGAGAATCATGTTAATGTAAGTGGGTTATATTAATTTCAATGCACTTTGTATTGGATTCTAATTTTTGCATATTAAATGACACTAGAGGATATTGTAATTAAGTGTATACATTGACCGATTGACGGCATATTCCGTGGGTCATAGAAATTAATTACAGTAGGGCATACCTTCAAATATAAATATTCAACAATTCATACTTTGATGTTAATCAATATCCAATTATGACCACTGAATTTCAAAATGACTCTAGTAATGATTAAATCTATATTCAAATGTTTGTTATGTTGAATTTTTTTTTAAACAAAAAATTATATGTCCAAATTGCATTGTACGTATTATTATTTAGTAATTATTTATATTATATTATATTATATTTGATATATGTATATTAATTAATTAATAATCGAATGAATTTACTTAAAAACGAACTAAATACATTGACCAATGGTACCACAAACATAATGATTTATTGTTTAAAATTCTTATTTTCTATACAAGACGAAGAATCCGAATTTTATTAAAAATATATAATTATTACTTTATTAATATATTACTGAGTTAATAATATTAATTTAATAAAATTTATTAATATATGATTAATTAGTCTATAATTTTTAAGTTAATCGTGATTAACCCTCTTGCAGAATTCCTCACTCATCCAGAATTAACCCTCTTGCTCAGCAGTTG